AACTTCATATAGTGCTTTATCTTTCATTTGTGTCTAATATTGTAGTCCCCTTCCATAACATAAGCTCCATGAAGGGAGGGGCATATCAGTCAGCACTTAGCACGATGCTTAATTATTACAGGAACTCATATTTGAATGAATCAAAAGAAAACATACATTCAACCAACTTTTGTGTCCTACTCTTCCAAGCATTATATCAAGCAACTTTAACAGATATAATGGCCACATATGTGATCTGCAAAATCTAAGCATGCATGCATAGAATTCATTGTTCTTATGGTAACAGAATGTTGGTTGTGGAAGGAACCTAGAAATGCTAGTCTATCTCCATGCTCAGTGAAGAATACCACCTGTGTATCATCTCCCTCTGTTTTCTACCTAAATACCTACTGGACTTCAAAACTGAGTCACAGATGGTTAAATAGCTTGCCCTTAGTCATACAGGTTGTAAGTGGAGCACCCAGGATTCACACCCAAGTCTCTATGACTCCAGAGCTGAAATTTCCTTTTGTTAAGTCACAGAACAACCTCCCCTATACTGCTTATTTGGCAATTAATTTTGCAGTGAAATAATCTCATAATTCTTGCAGTGAAATAATCTCAATAGTCACTTGAACTATTAAGCTCTTGCTTGCATATGTTACTGTTATTAGATTTTTCCATATGTTTATGTCTTATTTTCTGGAGGTTTACATATTGGTGTTCCCACCACTATCTTGCACATAGCAGAGGCTCAGTAAATGCTTGACGGATCCGCTCAAATCTTTAATGAAGGGATACTTTTTCAAAGCAGCTTACTTCTGTCTTAGAAAATTGTTCCTACAGTTCAAAAAAATTTAAATGCCTATAAACAACTTAACATCATAGAACCCTAAAACAGAGAATATATAATCTATGTCCTTCATTTTACCATTGAAAAAAAACAAAAGTAAACTGAATTGCCCAAGGTCACAAAGCTATTCACTTGCAGATCCATGGCCATGAACTCTGGTCCCTTGAGTCACTGTCTGGTAATGTTCTTTCAGATGTTCGAAAATATTTGCTAGGCCCCTCTTAGTCTTCTTAGGCCACGAGGCTTAAATTTCTCACCATCTTAGGCTCTCCTGGTTTTCGTCCGGTTTTCCAATAATCCAATTAACAGGTACTTCACAGGTACTGCAGGGGAACAAAAGCTTTTGTTCATTACTAATAGCATTTTCATGGAGTATAAGCTTTATGTGCAATAATATGGCATTCTTAGGAATAAAAAATTTATCTGCCTTATGTTTTAGGCATCCCAGCTTGTAGTAATAAATCTACATCTTAAGGAAATAATTAAAAAGGGAAAGAAGACAAGTTTACACAAAGATAGAATTAGGATAACTGCTACCTGGAAATGGCCCAACATTTGGAGACTGTAGAATAATACGTACTTGCCAAAAATGGTATGGAGACCAGATAGCAGCAAAGAAAATTATGCAATAAGTGGAAAAAGTAAAACAAAAAAACAATGGCATATTAATTGCAGTGTATCAAGATGTGAAGAATTTAGAATTGTAAGCAGTGGATTCTTAAGGTAAAAGGGTTCTTTGTAAAGATCTGATGTTTTCTCCTCTTCTAGCATTATAGATTAGATCTAAATAAGGACTATAATGCCCACAGGTAAACATAGCTTGAATAAAGGGTTTCTGGAGGGTATGGAGGTAGGTGGGTTATGGATAGACATGGGTCAGACTGCATGTCTTAGTCCATTCTGGCTGCTGTAACAAATTATCACAGACCAGGTGGCTTATAAACAACAAATTTATTTCTCACAGTTCTGGAAGTTTGTAAGTTCAAGATCAGGGTGTCAGTGGTTGGGTCCTGGAGAAACCCCTCCTCCAGGTTGCAGATTGCTGGTCTTGCTGTGTCCTCACCTGGTGGAAGGGACAAGCTAGCTCTCTGGGGCCTCTTCTAAAAGGGCACTAATCCCAATCATTAGTGCTCCACCCTCATGACTGTACCACCTGCCAAAGTCCCCACCTCCTAATACCATCACCTGGGGCATTAGATTTGCAACATATGTATTTGGGGGAACACAAACATTCAGCCTACAGCACTGCAGATGGTCTTGCCCATCATTACGCTGAAGAGTTTGTTATTTAGCTTGTGGATAAGTGGCCTGATTACCACCTGATGAGCTTGAAAACAAAGCATGCAAACAAAAAGCAGTAAAACCATCATTTCTGGGGATCCATCTGTTACTCATCCACTGATGTAGCTCAACTGATGACATGTTTGGAGCCCAGTAATGACAGCTGATGATCAACTCCATCCCCCAAATATTTTTTTCACATATTCTTTCACCCAAACCAGTTTTCCCCAAAACAATTGTTTGGGAAATTAATGAGTGCCTACTATGGACCAAGCACTGTGTTGAATATTTTACCTCATTTTATCCTCAAAACAGGCCTAAGAAGTGAGTGTTATTATATCATCCCTGCCAAAGGTCATGTAAATAACAAGTGTTAGAAACAAAACTCAATCCCAAGTATGTTTAATGACAGATCCCATGCTTTTGGCCACTACAATGTGTCATTTCTAAGCATCTTTCCCAGTTTTATCCAAGGCCCAGACTAAGGATAGAACTCTAGGGTATTCCACTAGAGACTTCCTTCACAACAGATGTAAAACCACTGATTCATGCTCATTGGATATTGTGATTCATCTAATAGTCAATTCACTTGGCGAGACTATTATCCACCTGACTTTCACAATTTTATTCACAAGAATAGCATGGAAAGCCATTAAATGCCTTGCAAAACTGAAAAATATTATGTCTATGACATTCCCTTTATCTGCTAACATCTGCATTTCTTGCCAATTTTACCTTTTTTCTTTCTAAGAGATCTCTTCATCTACATTATTGTCCTTGTCCCTAAGTTATCGGCCATGCTATCTCTAGAGCAATTTAAACTCAAGCCCATCATAACTTCCCTATTTCAAATACTTCAGAGGCCTCCCATCTTCTAGAGTTGGTGCTCTTAACCTCGGTCTTAGGACTTCCAAGCACTATTTCAAATTATTTGAATACTGTATACGTGTGCACGTGGCTTCGAAAAGCATCCATAGATTTGTATCACATTATCAAAAAGTAACTATGATTTTAATGCTTATAAATCACCTATAAAATAAACAAAATTTCCTAAGTGTTTATATAAAACTTTTCGTGAGCTAATTTCTAACAGCCCCCAACCTCATCTCCTTCCATGTCTAACCTTTCAATACCCACTGCATTTGCGCACACTCACATGCAAAGAGCGCCATACTTCCTGTGGTTTCTCAAAAGGCCGTATATTTGCTCAGTTCCACACGTAAGTACACGCTGGGCCTTCTTGCTCCCCCTTGTGAGATCCTATTCGTTCGCAAACCATTTATAACCCATCCTCCCACCCACCTCCCCTCCAGCAACCCTCAGTTTGTTCTTTATAGTTAAGTCTGTTTTATGGTTTGCCTCTCTCCAATATCACTTTCTTGATGAAACCCTTCTCTGTCCTCTCCACTCACTTCATACATTACATAGACAATATATGTAAAACACATACTAAGTGTGCAACAAATAACAGTGCTGGAGGTAATGCTGGTAAATACTGACAATGATGATGTTAGCACACTGAACTGTAACTCCTTGAGGACAGGGATTGTGTTTAACTTCAAACATTTTGGTGATGTTTAACTTAATTTTGAAACTACCATAGTGCCTTATACATAGTAGAGAGTAAGCATGTATTTGTTAATAATCAATTACCAAGTCCAAAATACTGAAAGCCAAGGAAAGACAGTTAAAGAAGAGACCAGCATGAATGAGAATTACCAAAGAAAACTTTATTGAGGAGGTAGATACACAAAGGTAGATTTTTTAATGGCCGGAGAAGAGTACAGAAGTTACCAAAGGTAAAAGAAAAAAAGCATAATACATAGTCTGCTCTGGGGTGGGGAAGAGTAAATGTGCTTTGTTTGATAGGAAGGAGAAGCAGTGAGCGACGACATAATTAAATACTTGTCATTACTAAAACTTTACTGTCTAGTACCATGCCTAGAGATGAATAGCAAAGACAACAATCCTAAATTTTGCTCCTTTCAGAAACCTCAAGTTATATCAAAACCATAAAAGGGAATGTTTCATTTAGGCAAACTGTATAATATAATGCGGAAAACACAAGCTTTATAGGGCAGCAAATCTAGCTTTGAATTTTAGCTTTGCCACTTACCTGTTATCTTGGGTGAGTCCCTTATCTCTTTGAACTTTAGTTTTCTCTTCCATAGAATGGAAATCATAATGGTTATCCTAAAGGCCTGAGGTAGGGTTTGAATGAGATAATTCTTGGAAGCCCTCTAGCGCAGAACCTGGCGTGTAGCAGGTGTTCAATAAACATGAGTGTTGCTGTTATTATTTAGACTATGAACTGATGTACTTGTGTGTCTGCGCTAAGTCATGGTGTATGTTATGTTGTGTATGTTTTTGGACATGTAAACTTGAGCCTACTTGATCTGAAGGTAATTGGGCTTTTCGAAACAGAAATAATCCAGAAAAGGACAATGTCTGACATGGTACCCCATGGCCATTGTCTCTTTAAAATAAAGAAACAAAAAAAAATTTGAGTGTAGGGTGAGTGCTCAAATAGGAAGCTAATCATTTTCTTTATTAAATACCTGCTGTACAAACTGTCATTCAAATACTGCCTTATGCTTTATGTAAAACATTGAAAACCCCCTATGACTTTATTCTTCTGCTTGGATTTTTTTTCTTAGAAAAATATGTAATTGAATTAATTTCAAGTGTGTTTGTTTGTAAACCAGCCAAATATTTCCTTTTAAATACTTGAGCTCTATGTTGAATACACACATGTGGTTCTTAGCACATTTTGTTTTTTCAGTAATAGATTTCATCCTTTAATCCTTTTTTAAATGGGCTTTAAGTTCCACATATACTAATATGTCTCCTATGTCCATAATAAATGAAAGCTTTTCATTTCGTGCAGGTTCTTCCAGGGGACCCAGCCCCCTAACCATGGGAGCCCAGGACACCCTCCCTGTTGCAGCAGCATTTACAGAAACGGTCAATGCCTACTTCAAAGGAGCAGATCCAAGCAAGTAAGCCTGGGGCTTCGTCCACTGTATTCTCCAAACTCTAGCCTATTCAGTGGGGGGAGGGGGGCACCCTAAATATAACTATTTCATTCTTTATCCTAAAATGAAACAACCAAACAAAAATTCGGTTAACAATAACAGGTGGCATACATAGAATGGAGGAGAAAATTTAAATTAGAACTATTAATTCACTGCTTTTTTAAAAAAATGTGCCAAAAGGACTGATAATCTAATATCTTGCTCCCTAGAAATCTCTGGTTCAGTCTTGGTTGCAAGTTTACAGAAAATCCTAACCCAATTCCGTCAACAGCAAAAAAATTTATTATCTCACAAAAGTAAATGTCTAGATCATGTCTTTATTGTCTTAGTCTTTGCTGAATGGGAATCACTCACATATAAACTGAGAAATGGTGCACTGGAATGAGAACCTGGAAAAACACACATTTCATAACACAGAGATTAGTAAGAAGACAAGTTATATGTTACCCTTACTAACTAAGGAAAAACTGGCCAAAAAAATTACAATCACAGCAAAGTAAAAACTCTAGAGAAAAATGCACCACTCCCTATTTACTGAGCCTGATTTCACTTATTTCAGTACACAGTGACAGTGAACTTGACCTCTGAATGCATTTGTAATATGATTAAATATTTTGCTTTTCTATAAGGATTTCTCTGGATAGAGTTCAGGAAGTTTATAAATTCCCTGAAATTATACGGCATATCTTGTTGTGTGTGCATATGTACATTTGTCCATAGAGAGGGTCTATAACCTCCATCAATTTCACAAAGAGGTATATGATCCAAAAGAAAAAAAAGAATTAAGAGTGATTATTAGTCTACACTGAGAACAAAACACCAAAGTCAAACTGGCTTTCATGTGTGTCATTAACACATTTCCAGGCCTGAATGTGATGAATAAACAAAGGACAAACCTAAGTGAGGAGAGAATTGCTTTTTATTTTTTACTTACAAGGACGAGGACTTAGAAGACCTTAGTATCCATGGAAGTGAGAATTAGAAAATGTTCACATAGAACACTAGACCATTTTATGAAAATTTTTTAAAGAGTGATAATTAAGTATAATTAGAACTTGGATTTCCACATATATTTTAAGTGAGAATTTTTGTGATTAAGTGTGAAATCCTCTTTATACTTCAGAAACGCTAGTTTTTATAAGCCTAAATCTAACAATATTATACTGGGAAACATGACTAGTAACTCTACCTTTAAGTGCCCTATCAAGAGACGGTGGGATCTATCAACCTCCCTAAATGTCATGTCCTTTTTTACAACATTTAGATTTTATTCTAAGCCCAAACTATTGTAGACAAACCAACACTATGGACTCCAGTGTGTTTTAGTCCATTTGAGATGCTGTAATAGAATACTGTAGGTTGAGTCGCTTCTAAACCACACAAATTTATTTCTCATAGGTCTTGAGGCTGGGAAGTCCAAGATCAAGGCTCTGGCAGATTCAGTATCCGACCAGAGGCAGGCTCCTGGTTCACAGCAACCTTAAATGGGAGGGTGTGTTGGGGGGGGGTAGTAGGGAACTCTTCAGGGTTGCTTTTATAAAGGCACTCATCTCATTTATGATGGTCTTACCTTCATAACCTAATCACCTTGCAACGGTGCACCTTCAAACACCATCACACCAGAAATTAGATTTCAGCATATACGTTTTGGAAGGACACAAACATTCAGCCTGTAGCACTCTGGTTTCTCCCATGTCTTTTCTCTTTCATCTTCAAAGCAGGAAGGTAATTTGCCACATCCACATATCAACAGGAATTAAAAGCTGCCTCATACAGAGTGTGCATTTGAACCGTTAGAGCAAGTAAGCACCATGTGACTAAGTTGTATATGTACTTCATATACACATACACATTTGTTCTATAGACTCTCCTTCAAACAAAGAATTTGCATAACTTTCTATAATACCAGTTCTAAGTATTACTTATTATTGACTGGCCTACCTATACCTTTAAAGCTCAGGCTGACTGGAATTGACAAAGGCAGGTAGAAACACACCTTTAAAGAATAAGCGTAGTCAGGGGGGCACCTTGGTGCCTCAGTCAGTTAAGCTTCTGACTCTTGATTTCAGCTCAGGTCATGACCTCAGTGTCATGAGATTGAGCCCCATGTCCAGCTCTGCGCTGAGCATGGAGCCTGCTTAAGATTCCCTCTCTTCCTCTCCCTCTGCCCCTCCCCCAAACTCTCTTTCCAAAAGGAAAAAAAAAAAAAAGAATAAGAATAGTCAGGAGTGTGGAAAGGTATCTATACCAGCATGAAAAACACTGGGAATCACACAAGAAATAAGCTCTTTTTTTGTCTGCTTACTAACTGGCTTTCATTAATTCATTTATTCAGAGACCTAACTGGTAGTCAGAGTACTCCCACTTTTGACCCCTAAAATCTATTCTCAGTATATCACTCTTCTGCTCAGTATCCTCCTACCTTGTCCAAAATAAAACGCTAATGCTTTACAATGGTCTATGAGGCTCTCCATTATCTGGCCTTCAAGACCCTTCTCCCCTCCCAGCTCCCAACCTCCCTGATCTTGTCTCCATCACGGGTGTCCTTATTTACTCCACTCTAGCCACACTGGCTTCATATATTGCCATTAGGCCAACCTACCTGCGTCTCAGGGTCTTAGCATTTGTTGCTCTTTCAGCCTGGCTGAAATCTGCTCCAGCTATCTGAGTTACCTGCCCCCTCACCTCTTTCAGGATTCTTCAGCAGACGGACCAGAGACCTTCCCTGTCCACCCTGTGCAAATAGCAACACTCCTCCCCCGCCGCTGTTGGCACTTTCTCCCTTCCCATCGCCCTTCTCTCTAATTAACATGTTGCATGTTTTCAGTGTCACTGTCTGTCTCTTTCCCCCACTAGAATGTAAAATCCATGAGAACTGGGACTTTGAGCATTTTCTTCGTTCTTACATGCTCAGCATCTAAAGCAGGATCTGGCATAATTGCTGAACGAGTTGAGTTGAATTACTCTCCTAACACTTACAGAATGACGGCTATATGCCTGCCATTGTGCTAGACAGGGGTTATATCGGTGAAAATAAGACTTGTGCATAAATATAATACATAGTCCACTGTAGGAGAGGTGTAGTTATGGTGCAAGGGGAGTTAAGAAGCTTTTAATAATAATCTTCTTTAAATCCAAAGGAGTGGTAGAGCAGCCTACCAGTCACTTTGTGGGTCTGTGCCTAGACCAGCTGGGTTCTTCATCCTGTTTCAGTTTCCCCAGCACACCATAGCAGGTGTGTGGCCAGGTCTGCACCTGGGAGCCTGGTATCCATGACCTTGGCATTCCAGCAATGTGGCACTTGAGCCAAATTAATATTGGTGTTTTCTTATGCTCTTCCAAATGAACTTAGTCTTTGACTTGAGATGACTGCATATACTGAATCTGTTTTCAATTATATCGCCATAAGTAGTTGCAGTATGTATTGCATATTGGTAGATGGGAGATTCAGTAATTCATTGAAATTATGAGATCTGAAATTTATGAACAGATCATGAGGTGACATTCTTCTAAATTTAATTTCAGCTCCAGGCAGTGAATCATTTTAATTGCTGTTCCTTTGTTATTCACTTTCAAGGAAACATCTCAAGTTCAAAAATTCTATCACAGTGTGAGTGGGGGAGGGGGAGGATAAAGTCAAACACAGCACCACATAGAGAAATGATACAGAAAAGCCATGTGGATTTGCTTTTGCCTGTGGTTCCTTCTCATCCTGCACCCAAAACCTTCCCCATTTGCTTTCAGACCATACACTGGAAACAGAAATATATATACTATGTTATATATATTGTTATATGCTATGATATATAATCCATTCAAGTATAGTTACACTCTTTCTCTGAGTATTGACAACACCTGTAGTAGGCATTTTGACACCTGTGTCTTTCTCAGTTGCTCATTGGCAGAGAAGTCCTTAACTTTTGCTGTTGGCTGGGGAATACATCTCCCGTTATTTGCTCCTATTTGAACAACCCTGGTGCTAGGGATTAATTCTTTACTCTCCTGGAAAAATTATGAATCTCAGCTATTTTCTATCCTTCCCTTATCATCACATTTCAATTATTTATTCAACTGTCTGTCTCCCCAATTAAACTGGAAGTTTGGGCAAAGACCACATTTGTCCTGTTTCTCACTGCCCTTTCCAGGGCATTACGTAATACCTGGTACATTGTATAGTCACCCTATGTATAATTGTTCCATGTGTGAATTTATTTTGGCATTTTATTGAGTTCCTACTCTGCACTATGTTCTATGTCATGCACATTTGCCTTTCTAGAACCCAAGACACAGCACTTGCCTTCACAATAGTGGGTCAGGTATGTGTAAGAAGCGATGAAACAGTTTTAAAAAAATCTGTACCTCTGTCCAACGAACATAGAGAAAGGAAAAAGTAAGGAAGACTGAATAAAGAGAATATTAAGGAAGGTTTCAGAAAGGCCTGCCTTTGAACTGAGTCTTGAAACCTGAAAAGAAGTTTGCCTAGGACCTGAGCCAATGAAAGGGGATTGTAAGTAAAGGAAGGGAGGCTGCATCTGCTCAGGGGTATGTACACTTGAAATGAAGACTGTGCGCTTACTTATCACAGCAGTATACAGAAGTTACATTCATGTCAGGGATGTACTTCTGATGACCTCACATATATCAAATTCACACCTTTCCTGACCAAAATTGGCCAGCATGTCTGTTGATTGGCTAATGTGGTACTGCCTGTGGCCATGGGGAGAACCCAGTTTATAAGTCACTTAGCCAGGTGATTTTGAAATTTTGCCATTCTTTTTTTTTTAATATTTTATTTATTTATTTGACAGAGAGAGATGCAGTGAGAGAGGGAACACAAGCAGGGGGAGTGGGAGAGGGAGAAGCAGGCTTCCCGCCGAGCAGGAAGCCCAATGAGGGGCCCTATCTGGGATCGTGACCTGAGCCGAAGGCAGACGCCTAATGACTGAGCCACCCAGGCGCCCGAAATTTTGCCATTCTTGACAAGTGTTTCATTTGTTGGGATTCACATGATTTCAAATTTTATTCATAACATGAGTTTGTTAATATCTCCATATTGCTGGATTTTAGATTTCAGTAATTCAAACTCACATGAAATGTAGCCACGTTGCATACTGATAGGAACAATCATTAAACAAGGATTTTCTTTAGTGAATATGCACTGGAAATATTCATTTTTGTATAGAAAATTTCAGATCCATAAATAGCTACTGGATGAATTAATAAATCAGTAAATTTTGCCTATGACAGCTGAGATGCAATCCAGAAATGTAATATAAATGAAGAAACTCGGTGCTTTACATTGGTTTGTACTGACTACTTCTCTCAGCAGCTGCCCAACACTGGAAGCCCTTTGAAGAAAGGGGCTGTTTTGCTCATTTTTAAATGGCCTCCCCACTCAAACAAAAATTATACAATTAGGAGCTGATAAACGCTTACTGACTTAATAAACACTCCCTCCTCTCACTGACTAGTTTTCAAAAGAGAAACTTTGTCCCCCACCAAGACACCACTTAGATCTCATTTTGAGCAATCTGGCAAAGCAACTGAGCAGATTCTTTACTCATTAGAAAACATTTGAGCTGCCGCTGCTGACAACAACACACCGAGTGAGGGTAGATGCTGAAGTCTGATTTAACAAGTGCTCTGACTAATTACTGTTGTCTTCTAGAGTTGTGAAATCATATCCTGCACATCCACATATTGAAAAACATCAAGAGTAGACTCGGCCTAAGGGGAAGTCTGGGCTCAGCACCAGTAAATAAAGCATGGTTTATGTATCTAAAAGAGAAGGAAGACAGCAGAATTGCCACCCCAACTGGCAGATCGGCAGTATTCTCCAGAAGAGATGGAAGTGCAAACTTCCAGAAACCAGAATTTTCATCCAGAGCAGTGCAGAGTTATGGATGATAATATCTGAATGAGGGGTGGGGGGGGGACATGGCAACTTTAGGAAGCTCACCTGCCCCCCACCTCTACCTCAACCCCAGCCTTATACATACAAGGCTGTAGCGGTTCTTCACATAAGCTATTTTAAATATGTTCCAAGGTCCATCTCCCCTGAGCCACATGTATCTCATTAATCACAGTTACACAGCCATACGAGGTGACTACCGGACAAATAGAGTTCCCTATACTCAGATGTGAGCAGAGTATCCATCTATGAACCCCAAGTTCCCTAGAGTGTACACGAGTTCTTGTTTTGGCTATTGTGCACATGACAGGAGGCTGAGCTGGAGAACCCACTTTCATTGCAGGATCTGGGCACTGGGACAGACCAGACACATGCACTCCAGGAGGCAGATGCTAGGGAAGCTGCCTGTGCCACTGGGCACTATCCAAGCCACATGGGCAGCAATACCCACAGACTGGGGGTGCCCCCTGCAACACGGAGGTCACACACAGGCCTCCTGTACTGCAAGAGCCTGGCGTGAGATATGCCCTAACTACTGCAGGAGTCTGCCTAGCAAGCACCCTGGAACCAGGAAGGAGAAAAAAAAATCTCCTCCTCCTGCAATGTCTTTTCAGCGCCCTCTACTGACAAAATTTAACATAGTGCCTGTTGGCAAAGAAAAAGTCTATAAATAGGGCCCAATAATAATTTGCTCTGTGCAGGCGATAAAGGGTGAATTGGACCTACATTGACTTCATGTAGAAACTGACACAGTGATTATGAATTTGATATGAAAGTGCAAAGGACCTACAATAGCCAAAACAATTTTGAAAAAGAACAAAGTTGGTGGATTAATACTACTTGATTTCAGTGTGATCCAGGGATTCTACTCCTGTATCATTTACCAAGAGAAATGAGAGCCTATGTCCATACAAAGACTTGTAGAAAAATATTCATCACAGCTTTACTTGTAATACCCAAAAATTGGAAAGAATCCAGATGTCAACCAACGAGTGGATCAAAAAGAAAAAAGACTGTGTTATATCCCTAAGCTATGCAGCAATAAAGCCATGAACTATTGATGCACACACTACACGGGTGAATCTCAAAATAATTACAGAGTGGAAGAAGCCAGATCAAAAAAGAATCACATACTTTATGATTCTGTTTACATGAAATTCTAGAATGTGCAAATTAATATGTAGTGTCAGAAAGCATATTAGCAATTGCTTAGGGATAGGGAGTGGAAAGATGGAGAAGAGCAGGAAAAAGGGGTCACAGAAATGCAGGAGGCAACTTTTAGGGATGCTGGATACATTCAGTAACTTGATTGCATGATGGCTTCACAGGTGTATAAGATATCAAAAATTATGAAATTTTACACTATAAATGAGTGCCATTTTTTGTATGTCATTTATGCCCCAATAAAGACCTTTTTGAAAAAGAATTATTCTTCCTTCCAAATTATCATCTTATTGTGCTAACTTATATGACTGATTTTTTACAATTTCAGCCAAATAGACATGGGATAAAGATATAGCTTAAATGGAAGCAAGAAGTTTACCTCTCGAGTACAGAAAAGAACATGCTCAGGGCACCAATCATGTTACTGAGAACTAAAATAAGTCCCAACAATGAGTTGCGTGATGACATTGTGCAATTGATTTAATATCTTAAAATATGCTGCCAAAGATTCAGAAATTGAAGAGACAGAACCATCAGAACAGATGATTCTATCTGTGAGGTGAACATATAGACTTATCTACAGAAAGAAAAAAGCTGCATTTTTCTTCTGACGGTTCAAAAACACATTCAGCAAATGACCACTCTTTTGGATACGTGGTAACACAAACCTTGCATTCTCGGGTCTTAGAACTGATTTAGTAGTTGACAGTGGAATTGTAAGAGCTTACCTTTGGTCTCTCCTGCTGTGTAATATTGTTACATAAATCATTTCTTTTTCACAACTGTTTTGATTCACAGCATATTGACCTGGGTTTCCTCTCTTCCTTCCTCTCCTGTGTTCTGATATGCCAGGTGTATCGTGAAGATTACTGGAGAAATGGTTCTGTCCTTTCCTGCTGGTATCACCAGACACTTTGCCAACAACCCATCACCAGCTGCTCTGACTTTTCGGGTGATAAATTTCAGCAGGTTAGAACACGTCCTGCCAAATCCCCAACTTCTCTGCTGGTAAATATATTTTGCACAATTTCTTTCTTTTCTTTTTTTTAAGATTTTATTTATTGACAGAGAGAGACACAGCGAGAGAGGGAACACAAGCAGGGGGAGTGGGAGAGGGAGAAGCAGGCTTCCTGCGGAGCAGGGAGCCCGATGTGGGGCTCGATCCCAGGACCCTGGGACCATGACCCGAGCTGAAGGCAGACGCTTAACAACTGAGCCACCCAGGGCCCCCCCCCCCCGCACAATTTCTTTAGAGATGTGCATAGCTTAACACTGGATACTTACATGAGGGATATACTTTAACAAGAATGTAGCCTGGTAGAGAAATTACCGCTACTCTGATACATTTGTAGATTCAGCCCAGAGCTTTTGCCACCTGTCTAAGTCTTCAGTGGGTGCTCCTGTGCAGATGTTTATATGTATTCTAATGGCCAACTATCTCAAGTGGCTAAAGAGACATTTAGGGTAATAAAATCTGTATTAGTGACAGTTTATTCATGGTCTGTTTTACTGACCATCAGTAAACAGTGGATAAGGATGGTGGGAAATCAGCCCAATAAAAGGAATAAAATCCATTTGTCATAGTAGCATCTTTTAAAATCAAATGATATGTGAACGCTGAGCTATCCTTCACATGAGCTTGAAAATCTTTCTTGTGATATATATAATTTCATGGTCATGGTAATTGTTTCAATGGAACTTTACATGTATTCAAAGAAGCTTATGTGAGTTTGTATAAATATACTTTTTCACATTTTCTAACTATTACATCTGAACATGTCTTTATCATACCTACATACGTGCAGATTCACCCAAACATACACATTTGTGTATGTTTGGGTGAATCTGCACGTATGTAGGTATGATAAAGATGAATACCTTCATCTACAGGTATGAAGCTATTAAAAATGATCAGCTATACAAGTTAATTACTGGCAATGAATGAGACAGAAGATGTCATTCTTGACAGCTTCCTCTCCATCATCAAGTCCTGATATTGTACTTAAAAATCTCTCTCTAAAGTGGCCATGTTTTTCTCTTTACTGTGACCTCCCCTGTCCAAGTGACCACTGTCATTTTCCCGGACCACTGAAAGGGTTTTCCTCCTTCCCTTCCTGTGCCCAGTCTTGCCCCATGCCTACATATTCTACACAGCAGCTGGAATGACTTTTCCTGAGGTGAATCAGGTGATCGCCATGCATAATCCTCAGGTGGCTTCACATTGTGTCTATACCAGAAAGGGAACTTACTACAATTGTCTTTGTAACCCTGAGTCATCTACCCTCATCTGCTTCTCCGATAGCAGCTCCCACCGTCCTGCCTCAGAATCCTTGCGGCTCCAGCCAGACCTGACAGTCTTAAGAACAGGCGGAGTCCTTTTCCACGTCAGGAATTTGTGTGCTTGCTTCCTCTGCCTCCGATACTATTCCTACCCCTCTGCACCTTGACCTTGACTCACCCTTCAGATCTCAGCTCTGCTTGGCCTCCCCTGACCATTCCACTCCCCTCTCCACCCCCATCCCCCATCCCCAAACCAAATAGTCCTCTTGTTGTTGTCTCTCAAGGTACCCTATTCTTCCCCTTTGTCCCTTGCTAGAATTAATAATTATATATTTATTTCTGTTTCTTCATTCATCCATCTCCCCCACTAGACTGTAAAATCCATGAGGGAATGGAACACATCTCTTAGTTCACCATCACATCCTCGATATCTTCCACTGTGCCTGGCATCTAGTAAAGACTTAACTAACATTTGTTGAATGAATGAACAACTCAACTATGATTTAAAGAATTTAGTCAAGCTGGATATTTATGTAGAAATAACTAAAGGTTGGGGCGCCTGGGTGGCTCAGTTGGTTAAGCCACTGACTCTTGATTTTGAGTCAGGTCATGATCTCAGGGTTGTGAGAAAGCAGGCTCCCTGTGTGGAGCCTGCTTAAGATTCTCTCTCTCCCTCTGCCTCTCCTCCCCCGGTGCCCCCCCCACATTCACGCGTGCACACATGTATGCATGCGCTCTCTCTCTAAAAAAAAAAAGAAAGAAAAGAAAAAAGAAATGACTAAAGTTTGTTGGTATTTCGAATTGAAGGACCATTGTAGTCACTTTCTTCACTGAGTGAGACTTTTTCATTCCAGTGGTGACAAAACAGTCACAGGTCTTTCAGGTGATTACGAAGATCACCTTCCCTTCTTTGGTCGTTGCCATGTTTTAACTAGAAAACTTAATTCCAGGTTTAAAAGTATAATTGGGTCTTATACACAAACAAGGAATCATGGAACACTACATCAAAAACTAATGTATGGTGATTAACATAACATAATAATAAAAAAGTATTATAATAAATAATAAAAAAGGAAATGGTCACCTGTTGAATGAAAAATAAACATAAAAAAATCAAGATTAGAAATCAGCAACTTCTTATTTCAAGTTTCCCTTCCTACTTTTGATGTGCACATTGAGCCAGTTAATTCTTTTCAAGTTTTTATTTAAATTCCAGTTAGTTAACATGGAGTGTAATATTAACCTCAGGTGTGGAATTTAGTGATTCACCACTTAATGTACAACACCCAGTTGAACGAGTTAATTTTATTTTTCAAGATTCCTCCAACTGAAATTAGGGATTATGTGCCACCATCTCACTGGTTTGTTTGTTAATAAGACTAATGTCATGGTTTTTGTTGCATCTTTAGGTAGTTATGTGGCCAAGATTTTAGGCATATTTGCAAGAGTTTTATATTTATAGTAATATATCAGTCCTATGAATCGAATTAAATCACACTCTGAGCATGTTTTTGTCTGACAAAACAATATATAGACCCTTACATTATTATTTGCTAAGACCAAAAAAAAAACCAAACAAACAAACAAACACTCCTCATTCATTTGGACCTTATAAACTCTAAATATTTGATTATTGTGTCAGGACTGTGACCAGTAACCACAGTCATGGAACCTATGAGGGTTTGTTATGCAGGATGGTTCCACCATCACTGCTACTATCCCTAGTTTTTAAAAGGCAACACAATCAAGTCCTCTCAGTTGCACTACAAGCCTTAGACCCAGCCAATTCTCTCATTTATGTGTTCTGAAAGACTCCATTTAGGTTAACAGCTTGGCACCTGAAGACATTTAGGTTTGCAATCCCTCGGGAGGGACCAAATTGAAGTTTACTTCTACTTTTCCCTAACAAAAGAGGTGTGCTTGTAAAGAATTCAGGAACAATTGCTAAACCAACCATGAGACCAAAGAATTTTCAAGACTTCTTGAGCATTCAAGAATTGCATCTCTGTCTAATTGACATCTCTATTTGATACTGGCAAAGCTTTCTTGAATATTTATTAAAGCAAGTTCGCTGAAGAATTATTGTAGATATAGGACGAAGCTTAATTTGTTATTAAGCTTAGAATATACATTTCCTTAAAAAATAGTGCCATTGAAATTTTCCCAGCTATTCAGATCTACTTAGTACAAATTAATGACATGTTGCTGGATGTTAATTCTGTAACTCTTTTTGGTACAGTGGGAAAGTATGACCTGTGGTCCACTGACCTGGGCTGGAATCCTGACTCTGTTACTTATTTGCTGTTAACCTTAAGCAAATTACTTAATTTCACTGACTTTCTATTACTCTTATCTCCTGCCTCTGGGTAAGTTGGATGCTTTTAGGTAATAAAAGTTTAGACAGCCCTCATCAGCATCCTTAGCCCAGCTTGACCAGGACCAAAGTTTCAGGAGGCAGGAGTCTTTTCCAGCAGAGTTACAGAGTTAGAGAGCTTTGTTTTGTTCTCAACAACCCATACCAGGGCACAGCAGAACCACATGGGTCATACTCAGACTTGAGCCATAAAACCAGTCCCTCCTAACAGATCGGTAGCAGTTTTGAAGAAAGCCCTGATTTTTTTTTTTTTATGACTCACTCTCTTAATTTGTTTGACTTTTGGAGGTGGAACCATAGCAACTTACTTTTCACCTGCCTTCATCACTATTTATTTGGGGGCGGGCGAGCAGAGGGAGAGGGATAGAGAGAATCTTTAAAAATAAAAATAGATTGATTTATTTATATTAAAGAGAGAGAGTGTGAGCAGGGGAGGGGCAGGGGGAGAGGGAGAGAATCTCAAGCAGACTCCCCACTGAGCGCGAGCAGACACAAGGCTGGATCTCGTGACCCTGGGATCATGACTTGAGCCAAAATCAAGAGTGGGAGGCTTAACCAACTGAGCCACCCACACGCCCTGAGAGAGAGAATCTTAAGCAGGCTCCACATTCAGCACGGAGCCCAGCGTGGGACTCAGTCTCACAACCCTGAGATCATGACCTGAACCGAAAGCAAGAGTTGGTAGCTTTACTGACTGAACCACTCAGGCGCCCCTGCCATCATCACTTCATTACTATCACCCTTCTGTCTTCTTAACCTCTGGTTGTCATTCAGTAAGTGAATCATATGTCAGGTTACTGAATTCATTGGGCCCTAAGTTTCCTCATTATGTGGGAAGTGAGCAGAGGCTTTTCACACTCTTGCCTGATTCCTTTTGTCATTGAGACAAGCATTTTCAAGATACATTGGGTGAAGGATGTGTGGACAGACATCTGAGCAAAACAAATCTCTAGGAATACCAAACTCCTGAATTCATCAAGACTGCACTTCTCTATAGTAATTACCATGATTATTATCATTCACATTCCAGGATCATCTTGTAAGTGCAGTGACTGTTTTATGATTTAGCTGTTCTTCGATGAAATACCATAGTAGTTTTAGTATCGCCCTGTTCCCCTCAGTTGGAGATAAAGACTGTGTTTACATTTGGCCAAATATTTAACTCAGTAATTTCTGAGAAACTACTGTTCAAGTCAAGTAAAAAAAAAAAAAAAAAATCAATGTACTCAGCTCTTTGATTGCATTAACTGACTAATTCAGAGGAAAACTAGTGATGTAGAAAGGGCTATTAAGTTTGGGTTAATATATAATTCACTCTTTAAAGCAACCAGTTATCAGGATTGGTTGATATTACTGGGTACTCACTGAGATTCATAGCAATACAATCATGCCTCCCTATGGGTATTAATATATTAATATAATGCCATTCAGAACTGCAATTGTACTAAAACTATACTACTGCTAATAATATGATCTCTATAGACTGTCAGAGATGGAGATGGAAACAGGTGATAATTTGCTAAGATGCTTCTTTGGGTAGGTATTTGTCACAAGATGCTACTCAATAATTTTTTCTTCCCAACTAAATAGCGATAATACCCAAAATGATGCCAATACCAAGGAATTCTGGGTAAACATGCCAAATTTGATGACTCACCTAAAGAAAGTGTCGGAACAAAAACCCCAGGCTACATATTATAATGTGGACATGCTCAAATATCAGGTAAGCCTATTCATATGGTCGGGGTGTCTCTTTCACATTATAAATGTATATTCTAACATGTCTAACATTAAAGAAAAGTAAATAAAATAGCATTTCTTTTAATATAACTTAAAAGCTATAATTTTTAAGAAAATAAACTTAAAAGGCTACTTGGAGACTACAAAAATGAAGTTGCAGAAACTTCCAATAATTGAGATTATAAATACTGGTAAACTAGTTCACTGTGGTGGTAATATACCCTCCGGGTTGGAAAACACTTATTTATATTGCTGTAAGGAAGCCACTAAAAGTAAAGTATCTACATGACAGAACATTTTACAAAAATGCAAATGAATGTTTGTCCAGTAAGAATAATATCCTCTAAGCTTTGGACATTATCAATAATACTGAACAAACATGATACCACAGAAATTCATCACCTGTATAATTAAAATATAATTAAAAATGCATTTTTATTTAACTTTTTTCCCCAAAACATTTAAACACATTTAGTGACTGCTTTAAGCTTCTGAGAGAAATGAAAAAGAGCAAAAAAAGCAAACTCCAATAAAAAGTTTCCCTGAATGAGAAATTCAATTTCGAGGCACATGCATGGTTCTTTATGCCCAGAGGGGTAAAAATAAACCTGTACTTGTTTTCTTTCACAAACATTCATTACAAACACCATGTCTACATTGTCACTTCTGATTAAAAACATTTTTTTTACTCTTAAATGCTGTGGGATTTTTTTTTTTTATCTCCATATTTGTCATTAAGTGAATCTAGGAAGTAGACCAAATTCACCTATTGCAACCTGAGGTTGGTGTAAAGTATTAAATTGAAGGCAAGAAGCTGCATTCTGGAATTAAGTCAGCTTCCTACAGGCCACTGACTTTAGGCACTTAATCTCCCTGAACCTCTGTTTCCTCATCTGCAAATAAGGACAATAACAATTCCTGCCTAGATATTTTGTAGGTTGTTGTGAGGAGCTAATAGCGTAATATATTTCAAAGTATTTGTAAAATATAAGTAGCCCTAGGCCTGCCATTTTGTTTTATTTATTTATTATTTATTTATTTTAAAAAATACTGTATTTATTTGACAGAGAGACACAGTGAGAGAGGGAACACAAGCAGGGGGAGTGGGAGAGGGAGAAGCAGTCTTCCTGCGGAGCAGAAAGCCCGAAGCGGGGCTCTATCCCAGGACCCTGGGATCATGACCCTAGCTGAAGACAGACGCTTAACGACTGAGCCACCCAGGCGCCCCACCATTTTGTTTTAAAGTGAGCTCTGAGGAATCCTTTTTGCTGTTGTTTACTTGTGGTGGTGGTGTTTTCCAGGGATGGAAGGAATTGGGTGGGAGGTGCAAGGAGCGTTTTGTGGGATTGCCCTCAAATCTCAGCATGTTTAGTTTCTGGCCACCAGGAGCATCCCCCAGGGCCTGGGACAATCAAAAACACACCCTCACAAACCCAAAAAGCGCCATCACTGGGGAGAGGAGCCACTGTGAAGTCAAGAACCACCACTGAGACAGAGCGCAGAAACGGGCAGGGAGGGGTCTGTCTGCTCTGCTTTTGATTTACCTTAAATAACATATTTCCAAAGCAAAGTTCATTTGCAGAGGATTATGCTGCAAAAAACATTTAAAGTTTAAAAACTTATAATGGTTGTCTAACTAAAATTGTCATCAAAAGCCATGTCTATCATTTTATACAATAACCCATATCTGGGCTTATTTCTGCCGCAACCACTGCTGCCTTATGAGCTCAGCCTGCCCTCAGGCTCCTTCCCCATGGTGTCCATATGTGCAGGCATTGCTAGGCCTAAAGGGAGCTGTTTACTTTAAAATCAGCAAAACCCATCCTCTGTGCGTAAAACCACAAGGGTGTAGACATCACCCACACAACCCCCACGGTGTGAGTGTGCTGGTAAAAGAAGAATCTCCTAAAGCTATTCATCATCACAGTGAATAGTTGAGAAATAATAACATTATGAATTTTTCACTGTGGATCCAGAAATCAAGTTGGTATTATTGTCTTTGGGTAAGACAATATTGTTGATTCTGCAAACTTGGTCAAACTCACAGTGGATTCTAACTAGAATTGACGGGAGACAGTAGAATGTACCCCTTCCAGTTAGAGGATATGGGTTCAAGTGCTCACTTTGGCAAATCCCAAAGGAGTGATAGTAACCTGCTTCGTCTAACTCACTGTTGTGTTATGAAGCGAAAGTATGATAAGAGTATTAATAGGTAATATGTATGAAAATGTTAATGCTTTACTAAGTGCTAGGCACTATGCTGTTTCACATAAAATATCTTCGATCTTCCCTGACAAGCTTATGGGTAGATATTATTGTTATAGTTCCCATTTGGCAGCTGAAGAAATTACTGAGACTCAGAGAGGTTTATTGACTGGCCCAAGATCACTCAGCTTGTAAGTGGCAGTCAGAACTCACATCCAAGACTGTCTAACTCCTTGGCCTCAGCTCCTAACCAGTGTGCTACCACCTCCCTACCTGACCCAAGTGCATTGTAAACTCTAAAGTGATATAGAGTGTTCAGCGACTGATTTTGTTTTTAATCTGTAACAATTTCCCTGTAGCACCCAGCTCTCTTTCACAGGGCACCCTTCACGGTGCTATTTACTGAGAGCTCATCTGTGAGCAGCACCATCTACACGATGACATTTGACAGCTCAGAACCTTCCTATGGGAGATAATCATAACTTCTGGCTTTGTTTCAGATTAACAGTCGAGTCTTAAATATTCTCTTTCCTGTCATTTGGCAAGGTGTCTGCCCAGGGCATTCAGTCCACACCTCTGAACCTGGCCGTGAACTGGCGGTGCGAGCCGGCCAGCACTGACCTGCGCATAGATTACAAATACAATACGGATGCAATGACAACGGCCGTAGCCCTCAACAATGTGCAGTTCCTGGTCCCCATAGATGGAGGGGTAACCAAGCTCCAGGCCGTGCTCCCACCCGCAGTCTGGTAAGGAGCCACCAGTCCCCTTTCTCTTTCCCAAACGGCTCTTTCCGGGCAAAGGCCTCACAGCCTTCTTAGCATTTTTATTTCCTACAGGAGGACATCACAGCAGGCCTGTGTGTCAGGGTTCAGGGCAGGAAACAGAAACCGTTCTGTTATTTTAAGCAGAGAAGGATTTAACACAGGGATTAAATGCTCACACAACAGTGGAAGTGCGAGAGGAATAAGCCTTCGACTGGATCTCCAAGAACGTGTCCCAGAACGCTGCAGTACTGACTCGCCAGGGAAGGTGCTCCCTCTGCCACAACCAAGAAGCAGAGAAATCAGAAAGCTGCCCATGGAGCCATTGAATTCAAGAACTCACCACTGCCACGTTGATCCAAGGATAAGAAATTTCCTACCCACCTGCCTTAACTGCTTCTCAACGCTCACACAACTGGAGACTGGACTGCATGCAGCACTTTGTGAGAAGATCCCCATGTCTCAGTTAGGCTGCTGGCTAGCAGGAAAGAACCACAAATATGGCAAGAGAAGGGCCTCTGCCCCCCTTCCATCCTCCAAATCTCAAGCAGTGCCTGTAATTGGTGGACCCTAATCTGCATCTAGGACCCTAACTGCAGGGGCGTCTGAGAAATGCAGGGTTTTGTTTTGTAGCCTCTGGACTATTAAAAAGGCACCACTAGAGAAGGTACGGGAACAGCCACTGAAGAGACACTGAGTACTGATAGTAGCTGTTAAAAAGAACTTGTTCTCTTAGAAAAAGTTATTCTAGTTTTTCCATGTGATTGTCAGAAGCAAAATAAACATTAAAAAAAAAGTCATCCATACAACAGCTAAAACTTAAGTTTCCTGAATTAATTAAGACTTACCATCTATGATAAGTAGGTGTCAAAAAATTTAACTGCATTGTCCTCTATATGTTTTCATATCTGACAGTGTTGTGGCTAGTTACAATAAGGAACAGAAAAAAGAGAATTTATGTGTGGATGGATAGATAGATAGATAGATAGATAGATAGATAGATAGATAGATAATGCTTAAATTGTAGTTAACATTGTCAAGATCCATTTTTTAAATTAACACTATCTAGAAAAAATATGGTTTCCATTAAACAAAAACATTTGCATATACAAAAAAGCCTTTTACCTATTTTATTTTTAGGAATGCTGAACAACAAAGAATATTGTGGAAGATTCCTGATATTTCTCAGAAGTCAGAAAATGGAGGTAATGTAATCACAGGCTTACTTTATTTAATATATAAAGCTGAAATAACTTTCAGGTATTAGAAAACTATTAAAATATACAGCGTTAGAAGCAAGCAAAATATTTCACTTTGTTTTGGTATATACTCATTTCAACCAATAAAAAGCAAATAATTCCTCAGTGAATCCTCTACTTCCCCTTTTCTGCCCAACCCCACATCAAACAGACCATACTTCAAAAAGAGAAGAGCTTTTAATGAGACATGTTTTCATTTTGTGTCAGATCTCCACTCCCTGGTAGTTGAGGTATTTCTCACTTTCCTCTGACTAGGAAAATAATATTGCCTTCCAAGCAACATGCTTCCAAATTTTGAAGTACCATTTGGTTGAATTACACTTTCATCAGTGTGCAAAAAAAGTTCCTCATGATATTTCATGATAAATTTTATTCATCACCATTTTGTCCCTGAAACATATACTGTTTTCTAGTAAGTTAGATTTTGTATGTTAACTTTTGAATACAATTTCCAAAACTATATCCAGCATGTTGTGTTGACTGTTATCTTGTAATGATACTCTTTTTATAGGGGTGGGTTCTTTATTGGCGAGATTTCAATTGTCTGAAGGCCCAAGCAAACCCTCCCCGTTGGTTGTGCAGTTCACAAGTGAAGGAAGCACTCTTTCTGGATGTGACATTGAACTTGTTGGAGCAGGGTATCGGTTCTCACTCATCAAGAAAAGGTTTGCTGCAGGTAAGTGGGCATCCTGTGAGTTTTCATTTGCAAAAATAGGTCACCTTAGCTACTCTCTCAAGAAGGAATAGTGTCTGATTTGCTCATCTTTCTTTTCCTCTTCTTCACTCCCAATCCCCATTTCTCATCCAAGTTAGAAAGCAAACCGATTGTAGAATGAAGCAAAAATGGGATAATAACCTGGAAGTCAGAATTAGGAAGGCCCTGGCTACTTATCTGGTTCTGTTTCTTCTGTAGGAATGACCAGTTATTCCCAGTATATACATTATATATACATATATATATACTGAGGTTAATTTAATGGAGTAAATCCTACTGTTTTTATTTTGACAAACAAAATAAATGCTACGTGCCTCTGAATTTACCTCTTACCTGAAGACTTTTTTTCTCCAACAAGGCTTCATCGATTTTGTATTTGTCAGGCATAGCTGGAATCTAGAGGATCCATCTTTCACTTTAAAATAAGCAACCTTAAAGAATCTAGGCCATGTACCAGAAATGGTTGCCCATGAGCTGAATATGGCCATGAGACAGGTTTTTGGCACAACATGATAGTTTGTTGGCGAAGGAGTCTCCAACACCAGGGTCATTATACTTACCAATGACTTGTCAGGATAACTCCTGGTTTTTATGCCTGCTGTACTCATGTAATTATTAGTTATAACCCTTCCACTCTCAAAAATGACCCAGGTTATATGGTTACTCTTCCCATAACAAGTTGGATTCCCACATCCAGAAACAAATCTCCCAACCTATCCTAAAACCCAAACCTCTGCAAAGTGTTCATATGTGGAAATGTGAAAAGGCAACTAGCTGGTCTGGGAAATTGAAAACTTAAGAAATTGTATATATTTTATACTAGTATTGCACCCCATAAGATGCAGTATTTGGGTTCTAGGCATAGGGCAGATAGAATAAAAATGTTGCCCATATCATAATCACCAGGTAAACCTGCTGATATGTTGTTTTGTTTTGCAGGGAAATACTTGGCAGATAACTAATAAAATCTTATGCAAGGATTTGGAGGATTCATATAATGGAGAACTGTTGTCTGAGAAACAGGTTTTAATTTTGGTTTGATGGAAACAAACCAAAATCTGCACTTGGGATATATCTGCTGGAAATGTCCATGACTTTCAGCAATGATTTCCCTCACACAATACCATGATGACCAGTCTTACAGTATTTACTTCTAGGTGTAATATTGTTAATGGTTTTAAAATGTAATTATTGTATTTGTAAATTGTACTCATTCCAGTAAGGCAGTTAGACACTTGAGTTTTAGCATTTTACCATTCCTGAAATGGATGTGATTTAAACGGTGGTATGTAAATTTAATAGTAGTACTGTTGAATGGCACAATGATTACAGAGGTAGATTGCATTTTGTCAATATATAAAATCTAAATATAATATTGATAGCTGTCATAAAGGGGGTGCCACATACAAAGAAAATTAAGTGGAACCAGAAAAGAAAAACAACTTCTTTTTCTTCAATCCTTAGTATGTTTTACTCTAGTGCTAAATAAAAATTCTATCTTCAAATATTTAGTGGGTTAAATTCAGAAACTATTTCAGAAAAAAAATTCTAAAGTTACAGCATATTCAAGAAGAGCATTAATTACCACTTTTTAAAAAAGCTTTTTTTTCAAACTGCAAATTTCATAAAAATGCGAACTGTGTAAACAGGGCCTCTTATTTTTATAACTTGTGTAAAAAGGGAAAGCAATTCATATTTAAAGTTTAAGTATATGAAATTATAATCAAGAGTAAAGAAGATGTTGAAGTCTTAACTACTTCCCCCTCTCTCTGCAGTTTAACGAATGTGGAGATTGCTGAATAATATCAGATTAAAGCCAAAATTGTGATTTTAAAATTTCAAGACTTTCCATAGTTGAACTGCTGAACAACTCTTGCACAATTACTCTAAACAGTCTCTCCCATCTAGCATGGAGAATGGTACCACGTATCTTTCTCTTTACCTGCAGGAATCAAAACATTAAGACTAAAATTCAGAAGAAAAAATTAGTCCCCCGTTCAAGTCCAGAAGGAAAATTTTAATCATCATCATTTATATCGTTTGAGAAGGAAAAAAAAAAGCTTTATAAAGGAAATTCTATCCACATTATTGTGCAATAAATTTCCTTTTGGATAAGATTCATCATATGTTAACTATAAATCTTTGCCATTCTCGGGGAATCAGAGAGTTATCAAAAATTTATGTCATGATTTCATTGTCACAAGGTATAATTAAAACTGTAATTACTCAGTCTGGCCTCACAATGTGAGGATTCAGAACGGAGAAGCACTTCTTCTGGGTGGGTCTTGGTTGTAAAACTTTCCTCCTCTACTATCTGAAAACATGAAACTTCCTTTAAGTCATAGACCTTCTTTTAAACATGAACCAATTCTTATTCTAAGTTATACTATTAAATAACTGGAATTATTAAGCTGTTGTATTTATCATTAGCTGCTAAATTTTATTTTATGTTCACTTACATTTGACAAAGAATCGTTAGTCCCTTTAAATTTTAGAATCAAATTAAATTTTGTAAGTCTTACTTTTAAAATGAGATTGTGACTGGCAATTGTTTATAGTGGAACTTTTTAAATTAATATTTGTACTTCTCAATCAGTGCTTGCTACCAAGAGAATGTTCAAAATGATCTGTTTTACCTCAGAAGAATTCCTACTATTCAAACACTCTCAGTTGGCTCCCCAGACAGTCTGGTGTGGAAGTTTTTTGGACAAATTATTAATATACTCATTTTAAGTAAAGATATTCAATTTGATTTTGAAACCAAAATAGAATATGCAAACTTTTAAATCCCACAAAACATGGGGAAACATCAAACACTGAAACCAATGGAGAGTAAGCAGCAGAAAATTGAGAATTATCCAGCATACGAATATAAAAATGCATTTTTAAGTAATCAATTCATAAGGAAAACGTATTGAGTATTAACACAAAACATATTAAAAATGTGTAAATATTACTGGTTCTTATGTCTTGCTCTTTATATTTTATTTTATATAGTTCTAGAGTGAATTAGTAATTAAACACAAGGGTTTTTTTTCAAAGAATAATTTTGTTGATATTGTAAAAATATAATTTGAAACATAGACTACAATAATCTCTAACGTTATTCAAACGTTTCCAGGAACTAAATTTGACACTATGAAGATCTCTTATGATCCCTTAGCTGGTCTTTGTGAAACAGAATGGAGGTCATTGGCTTCATAATTATTAAACTTTCAATAACCAGAACCTCAATAGAGAAAATATCCCTTCTCCTTTCAGAAAAATAGGTCAAATAATAACACAATAAACTCATATCAGGGCTTTAGATTTTGGTAGGTTTTTTTTTTAATCTTGTAGTTTACAATCTCCTCTTATACCTGTATCCATAGTACTGTACAATAAGAATTCATATTAGGAAAAAAGATCCTAGACAATGCAAGGGTCTCTACTATATATTAAAAAAAAAAAACATTGTCAGGTTCATTATCAGTTCCTAAAACAGAACAAAATGGGCAAGTACATATTAATATTTTCAATACCAGGGGTTAAAATAAAGAGTTCTCATTAACCAGAACACCATTTCTTGAGATTTATGATTTTAAAAGTTTCTGTTCTAACAAGATAGAAAGTATGAATGATATTGCTTTATTTTGACAACATGAAAAGTATGTTTTTCTTTTTAAATAAATTCCATATTTTCTTGATATTTTTGAAAAATAAATTCTTGTTAAGAATTAGTCTGAATTTTACCATAGCTGGAATTTATAATTCCTAAGAATTAAATTTTTAATTATTTTTAAAGCTCTGTTCTTCTCTACACCTACAGACAAAATGAAAATTCACTGTATGGTATTTGAGAATCTATTTCACCTAGAAAGAAAGAATGTCCACATTTCAAATGGTTTTGAGTGAATAGAGATGTTTTATTTTTGCTTTTATGTATTTTTACTCAATCTGCAAAGTGTTTGAGGCAATCATGACACATATTTTCATTTCTAAATCTTCTTTTCAAAGAAGCCTGGTGACTACATTAACCCTATCGCTAACTGCTGTTGTGTGACGTTGGACAAATCACTGCCTTTCTCAGTTTCTCATCTTTAGAATGAGGGATTGGGATTGTGAGTGGTTTTCAAGTTTTTCTTAACAGCAGGACTTTTTTCTACTAAAATTGCATATGGAATCTTGTTAGGTAAAACAGCTCAAAGCAATGATGGAGTTCCTGCAGCAGTTTAGATCTGGGTGCCCCAACCCCACCCCAGCAGATTTAAACACCATCATAACACACCAACCACCTATCAAATTTTTCCCACCTCTAAGTTCCACAATTCTACTAGATCAGATAGATCCACTGTGGCGGCTTCATAAGAAAACTTGTACAATCACAGTAATTGACTGATAGATTATAAAAATTTACATTTACTTGAGTGCTTACCATATACCAGTCACTACAGATATTAGCTCATTTAATCCTCATAGCAACCGAAAAGTTAAGTACTCTTTGTGATTCCTATTTCACAAATGATGACATTGAGGCTTAGAGTAATTAATTTCCCCCAAGTGACACAGCAGCGGGAAGTAACCCAGTTGTCTTGACTGCAGAGTGGGCCCCTGACCAGTTTTGCTTGTTCATTCTGGGAAATAAACTCTTCTATTTTATTTTACTATATATATATATCATTTGAATCCCAAGGTTAACGGTGCTATGAAAAATTAGTATCAAAATAAGGATAATTCCAATAGCAAAATTTTTGGAAAAGGGTATGTTTCTCAGAGTATGACTTGTGGACCACTTGTATTAACATACATTTAAAAGGGCAATGATTTTGGCTCAGTCACCACTATCCCAGAGCCTAGACGATAGCAGGAATCAACAAGTTTATATTGAATGAATAAATCTCTAGGGATGGATTTTAGGAATGTGTATTTTGACAAGCACCCAAAATCTGAGAATCACTGCCCTAAGAGACCTCTGAGGTCCTTCTTAGTTATGACATGATATTAAATTTTAAACATTAAATTGTAAATTGACTATCATTTTTCTAGTGAGTTTATTTTTCACTCAGTCCATTTAACTTTCTCCAATCTCAAAGGAAAAAAAAAAGATTCAGGGCTTTTTCTAGGAAAATCCCTGTCTTTTCCTTAAAGTTCTCCTCTCATGCTATCTAGTCTCGAAGTGGCCTGAAATGCATTCTCTCATTTTCGTATCTCTGTCCTTTTCATCAATGTCTTAAAAGACCTAGAGAAGCAGTAGGCTGATTGCAAGCTATCTCTCACTGCAAATACAAAGTCCCAATAAATGTCTCCCTCCTTGCAAGAGACACTCAGATGGATATGTAGATTGTGAGCTGACCCTATTTATCTTGTAGGCCTTTGAATTGGATGCTTTATAAGCATGGACCAGTGTCATTCTAGAAGAGTTGCACCAATCATTTTTATTTTTCCTTTATTTTTTTCATAATAATCACAGCTGTCAATTAAATTTGAATGACACAGTAAAATATATAAATATCTACTAAGAAGATGAGTTTGTTGAGTTTTGCTTTTTTTTTAAGCTTTATTTTTTCCTTACAGATTATGCATTCAGCAAAATCCCATTCAGTCTAAAAGTACTCATTTTGCTACATGGTTTTCTGACCAGCAATTTTTTTTAATGGAAGCAAAATTTTTTATGATATTAAAAGGAGGATGACCTCTAAATATCATTTGAAAAGTTAATATAAGTAAGAATGATGTTTCCTTGAAATAAGTCAAATTAAGTTGCTGATATGAATGAACAAATCGATCTGTTACACTGATTGAAGAAAGTGTTCTGATGATCCATCCCACCACTTTTAACTGTGTGCACTTCTTTTAGGAGGCTTTATTGGATTTTCCTGCTTCTTTTATGTCTGTTTTTTTTTTTTCCATTTGGCAAACAACATCCAAATGCGATTCCTGCACTCATGAATTAAACATGCCTGCCATTACATTACTTTTTGTGCACGGAATGTATGGAGGGAAAATGAGGTATAAATCCAATATTTAAATCTCCAAATATTAAAAACAAACAACAACAAAGGAAAACCCCCTAGCTTTTCTCTGGGTCATTGCTTTGATGTTCTGTCATCTTCTGTAGGTTAAAGTTGCAATTTTAATATCTAATTCAAATTGAAAAATTCTTCTTGACGGAAAGTCAAATTTTAGGGTCTCTTGAGTTGACTGTGGTCGGATCTCTTGACTTCCCCTCGTGTTTAATATTTGATCTCTATCCTAAATGAGTATTCTTGTGAGAGAAGGCACCTCCTTATTGACATTCACCATAAGTATAATAATTTATTCTCTAGGTATAACTTCTAAAGTTATTTTTCCTTGACTTACAGTATTTTTGATTGCCTTCTTCTATCCTAGGGTGGTAGGTTGCTTATTCTAAATACACCTTTGACCTTATAAGAAAAGATGTTTCAATGAGAAGCAAATATATTTTTATGTGTCCCTTAATGCCTAAAAGAAAATAATTAAAGGATACTTCTGCATTCACCTATATTCCAGTATTTTCCAAATCGTGTCCAAGTCAACTGTTTCTCACAAATGTTCACTGTGTCCTGAGAATATATGATCCTATGCCATAGTCCCTACTCCTCGGATATTTGATAATAAATGTTAGTGTTTTAATGAAGCTTAAGAAAGTTATTAAATCACATAAACACTTTTTTTTTCTAAACACACCTTGAAGAAACTTTAGAAAAGTTTTCCTGTAACACCAGCTTACATATCCTTCAAGAACCACAAATAATACAACCAGGAATGTTTTGAAAGGATGCTTCTAGGTTTTTGTTTAACTTTAAGAAAAATTCCTGCCATTTCAAATGAATTAGTATTACTTTAAATTTCATTAGTATATCTTAGTGAATTTAACTTTATCACCTAAAATATTCAAAATAAAACAACAATGTTGTTTTAATATTTTAATTTTTTAAGTATTATTTTTAAGGTCTGCTCCTATGACCAACACATCAGGCCACCATCTGTTGAAAACAATCCAAATTGTTTTACAGAATGAAATTTAAGAAATTGAATCATGATAGTTGAATGCTGACCTCATTTTTACATAATCTTGTTAGAAACTATACGAAAAACATTTTTAAATGAGAGGGATATATTATTTAGCAAAGATTTTGCAGAACCCTACACTCTATTAATGAACATTTCACAGTTCTTTTTTGCTATGCCTTATTTTGCAAATCAATTGTTTTTACACAAAATCAGCAAAATTCCTTTAAGAAAATTCCTGGACAAACTGATTCAGAGTAAAGCTGGATCACTTTACATTTCTCCAAATATAGCTCAATTTTTATTCAGAGGTTGTGAATTGGCTTGATAGAGAAGCCATTTATCATTTTAAATATTCCATTGAATGAGTATATCATGCAAATGTTAATTCCACCTCATTTGTTGTTATATATTACTTCATTGACATTTTCTCTCCTTTTCTTATTTTTGACAAAACAAATGCATAGTGTTATTCATACATGAATCATTACTTCAAACTATTTTAATAATACACCAAATGACTACCACTGGGATCACTGTCCCAAGGTCCAAAGCCAGATTTTTGTCTTTTCCTTGTGAGAGATGATAGGATGATAATTCTTATAGCTTTGTTGAATTTGCAGTTCAGTATTGAATTCTTGCTTTGTTCAATGGAGGTGCATGAAAGAGACTGGCTCCTGTCTGATCCGTCTGTTTCCTCTCTCAATCTAAGAGTTGGAAAATTGCTCCTGATTATTTTTTCTTGAAAAAGCCAAGTGTTGGTATATTTATGATGATATGCTAATCTTATCTCTGAGCAGAGCTTCACTACAGGCCAAGCAGTCCTTTATAGAGCTGGCTTTTTTAACTGTTTGACTATTATTGGGTTTCAATATACAAATACTTTTTTTTTTAATTTTTCACTTCGTGTAGAAAAAAAACTCTATGAATAAAATGATCAAGTTTTAATTTTCATGCCTACTAAGTGGCATTCATTTTTTTCTTTAGGAAAAGAATCTCAGAGAAATTTTGCTGTGTTTCTAGAGGTAATAAAATTCCATCAGTTGTTTTTCTTAAGAAAAATGCTATTAGTGTATCCTTTAATCTGACTTGATGGTAGCCTTTATTCAGAACTCCCCATGATCTTTATAGCGACAGTAAACTGAGTTTCTTCATGACCTTGTATGGAGTATATGTAATTTCACAAAATTCCTTGAGCATAACATATTTATAAAAGAAATTGTGGGTTAAAATACTCACATATTTAAAATATTTTTTAAATCTAGTTAAAATGTTGATGCCTGGCTCTTTTTCCTACATGTGTAATTCAACAGAGAGTACTTTTATTCTCATAGCCATTACTGCTCTGTCTGTGATGAAAGGTTTATTGCTTCTGTGCTGTGCTCAAGAAAAAAACCAGCAAAAGAAGCAAGGGTTCACTGCTGCAAAGCTGTTGAGCAATGGTGACATGAATGTGTAGTATTGACTTATGGAAGATAATCATAAGAACATTTTAACGTTACTTGCCTTATGAGTTAGAAAAGGTGTGGATATCATTTTTTGTAAATAATGATTTTTACAAATGTTTTTTCCTTCATAATTTTCCCAATCACCCATTTCACAAAATCCTGAATATGCAATTATTTATCATGACACATTACTGCAACTAGGGTTCCTGTTTCAGAACAAACTTTAATTATACATGAGATCAAGATGAAATATCTAAAGTAAGTTGTTATTTAAATGTGATTTTTTTTTCTGGAAAATAAATGAAAAATGTAAAAATAAACTGAGTTGTGAACCTCTTTTATCACCAGTCTCTTGAAATTTTACCCATATTTCTGGAAAATTTTACTACATGTTTGGGGTGAGCAAAGCGGGCAAAAGGTTTGGCAGAGTGCAAGGGTTTTAGAGTCTGGCAGATCCCAGCTCCGTGATTTAACTACATACTTGAGCATGTTACTCAATGATTCTTTATCCTTATCTTTAAGAAAATGGAGTTACTATCCCCTTATCATAGGGTCAACAAACAGATTAAATGAGATAATCTTTACCAATCACCTAATCATTCCTACCTACTAGGTAGTAGATATTCAATAAACAGTCCTTTCCTTTTCTTATTTTTCTGTGAATAGGGATTGGGATGGGGCCAGAACACTTTAATGCTCTTTCTCCAACTCTGTCTTAACTCTTAGTGGCTCTACTGTTATCCCAATGTATTGCTCTTGTCAGCTAATGCTAACTGCACTGAGTACCCATCAAGGGACCAGAGCCAAGCTAGAGACTTAGAGGCATTGTTTTATTTCTAACTCGCGATTGCCCACTACATAAGGGTCCTTTCAAAGGTTTGGACTTAACTTGCTTTGGGTTGGGGGAGGAGTCCTGGGGTTAATTATTAATGAGGAAGGGTCTATTAGTTATGTCAGGTAGGTCTTCGAGGCCAAACAGCCTCCATTTCAAAGCTTCTTAAACTTTAAGCGGCTGGGAAGAAGAGCTGTTAAGGAAGGTGAAGGAGCCCCGTTTGTATGCTTAGGAGATAATTCTATGTGCGGCACGGGGCCCTGGGCGTATTATTTAATATCTCAGAATCTCAATGTTCTCTGCTGTAAAGGGAGAACAACCCTTCCCTGACAGAGTTGTTGGAACAACTAAATAAAACGAAAACTGTTTGCCAGTATCTGGTAAATACAAGCTCTCAATAACTAACCTTACGATCAGGCTTCTGCACCTTGGAGCAGGGTGATGGGAAGTAGGGTCTGGGGTCTGGGAAAGGGAAGAGGAGCTCTACTTTCTCTTTGTGCCTCAGATTTCCTGTCCCAGGAAACCGCAGTACTTCCCTCTCCGGCCCCTGACATTTAGGGAAAAGGAACTGGATGAGGGAACACGGGGCTGCGCCTTGAGTCCCCGACGGCCTCCTCGCAGCAGCTTGAACCGGTTCCCCCCAGCTCCCGGCCACCCCAGGGCACAGTCGGGCTCAGGGCGGCGCCCCCTGGGCAGGGACGGTGAGATCCTTACATCCTGAGGGCCGCTCAGAGGACCACGCAGCTATTGCGTCCGTCGGGAGGGGGGGTCGGGGGGACTCTGTTTGAGGAGGTCACCCTGGAGACCAGGCGCAGAGCACAAGGGGAGTGAGTGAGCGGGCTGCCGCAGGCAGAGGGAGCCCCGGGAGGAAGGAGCCTCGCCCTGCGCCGCCCCCTCCCGCAGTGAGCGAGCGCGAGGTCCAGGAGGTCCCCGGCGGAGCCCCACGGCAACTCCAGCGCTGCTGAAGGTAAGTGTGCCCTCTCCGCAGCGGCGCGGGGTGGGAGCTGAGAAGAGGAAGACGCCGCAAGTTGCAGGGTTGCAGGGGCATGCGGAGGGAGGGCCCTGTGGTAGGAAATGGCCCGTCTGCCTGGGCCATGAGCTCCCTGACCCCCACGCCTCCTCCCCCCAACAAATAAGAAACAGTGGCCCCAAATTTGGGAACTGCTAGTGACTCCTGGCCTTTGGTAGCGACCCCCGCCCCCCACCACTCCCACCACCACCGACTTCCTGCATGTCTGAGTTTTAGGGTGATGCCCAGTGCAGAGCTGGCCAGCTTGGTCTGCTCCTGGAGCAGCGTGAGTCCTGAGCAGTCTTCTGAGGCCAGACAACACTGGGCGACCGCAGCCCTGGGGACCTCTAGGTTCCAGCTCTGGCCTGCGGAGCTTTGGAAACCAGGGAGCAGACCGAGATCTATCTGTGTCACTTTAGATAAGAACCTGAATGACCCACTTAATCAGGCTCAGTGTGTCCTACCACACACATAGACACACTCACGTAGACACACTCATTATATATAGACATACACACACTCATACACACAAGCACACACAGATAAACACACACACACACTCACATTCATAGACCTTAGTTTACTCAAAAGCACACACACCAAGATGCACACATACATTCAGTACACATCACACACAAAGGCTGACACACAGACACACCCACAGGCACACACCCATTTGGGTGCACAGATAATCCATCATTCCTACACACAGGTGCACGCACGGGTACACAGAGGCACACACTTATATCCACGTACACAGAGACTCATACACACAGCTGCACGCACTCATGGGGACATACTCATACCCGCACAGGCATCTACCCACACACACACACACACACACACAGGGATGTGCACACTCATGTAGACACTCACATAGGCCCACAATCACACACGGACACACACTCCTCACTGCCTCGCACCCAACACACAGTACCTCTGCCATCCTGTGTGCCCTCCAGAACCCTTTGCTCCTCTCTGCCCTGACACTGATCACACTGAGGTTTTAGATTGTGCCCTTGTCTGCCCTACCCACTCAACGCTGGCTCCCTGAAGGCAGGGACTTTTAGTTCTGTTTTAGTGTCTAGCACAGAATTTCCTTGTGCTCTCAGATTTACAGATTATAAAATAATTTAAGGGAATATCTAAATTTGTATGTAGGCAATAGGGCAGTAGACTTACAGTCTAAATTCTGAGAAGTCCGTTGCTACTACCGCTTTTTTAACAAGCATTTGGGAGAAGGAAGTAGGTTTTCTAGTAAAATACTTCGTTACAAGCTAAGTTCTTTGTGCTCTTTACAAAGTCAGTCACTGTTGCTTGAGAAAAATACCCTTTGGGGAAGACAGTTTTAACTTTTCAAAGTAAAGCAACAACAAATATTAATTAGCAAACTTTTATCAAGATTAATTTGGGGGGAGGGCAGTAAAAAATATTGCTTTCGGGTGTAGAATCACGTCTTTCTTCTACACAAGGCTATCTTTTCTCTTTGACTTAACCTCTTCTGCTATTAAGCATTTTGCCACAACTTGACATCTGCTTATGTGAATTATACTATTGCATAGATAAAAGTTATCAGAGTTATCAGTTATTCCAATTATACTGACCAGAATAACAACATCTCCTAAAAATCACTGTTAGGGAAACCGCACTTCCCCATTCAAAAAATGGTAGAAGAATTATCTGTGTTTTTTAAACTAGAATGAGTCTCTGTGTTATATTCACTAAAATGTTTTCAGGTCTTTCATCTGCTATTTTACAGAAGTTGTTTTCCATAGGTTATGATGATGTCAGAAATTGCTAAAGACAGAATGGCACGTTCAGTAAGGAAAAGGGGGAGTGTGTCTTCTCTAAATGGTCGTGAATTCCGGCAGAAGGAACTTCACGGGAACACCAAAAAGTGAGTAACTGAATGTCTAATAACCTAAATTCAGTTATTGAATAACCAGCGCATAGTGCTTATTGGAAGAAAAAAAATGTCCTTTGGGACATAAAAAGGAAGAAAATGGGCAAGCACATTTTGGGTCATCTCTTGGGGCTATATTTTAAAAACGAAAGGAAAAGAGAGTGAGAAAATCTAAGTGGTCTGTTGATTCCAGCAGCATTTTGTACTATTTCAAAGAGCACCCCCAAAAAATCATCTACCCAAATGAAATGCCATATGCAGTGTAGGCCAGCTACTTCTTACACATCTCCTGAATTCTTTTACTCAGTATCACACAAATGCATAGATTTTGCATCTTATAATCTCTTTCTCTCTATATATAGGGTATATATATATATATACATATAGAGCATTTAGCATATATATATATATATAGCATTTAGCATTATTTTATACAAATTTTGTAATGTATTTTCAATAGTTTTTCACCATATCCTTTTAAATGGCTGCATAACATTTTGTCAGTTTATAATTCTGGGTTAATTCCCATGCCCCAATTCTTGGGCATTTCAGTTTGTTTCCACTTTTCTTTCTTTTTCACTATATAATAAGTTTCTGTTTGTTTTCTTCCTAGAAATATAATTAGTGGGTTAAAGTGTAGTAAGTACATTTTTTTGGCTCTTGCTACATATTGCATTTGCTCTCTTAAAAAGATTAATTAATTTTTAATACTTGCATAGCATTTATTTTTGACTGCCTTTGGGAAGAAAGCAAAACAAAATATCTGATGCAGAGGTTAATAAACTTATATAATAAACTTTCCTTCTTAACAATTTCCATGACATTGAAGGGTGTGGAAGGATGGGCAGCTGGAACTGGTGTGTCCTATGGCATGGAGACCAGATAAACTGGAATAGATTTACGTTATAATTCTGAAACTAAATCTTTCTACTTTCTACTCTCAGAGTGTATTAATGTACCTAATTAAAATTTGACTTTCCAACCCTGATGTTTGTGGATTACAAATACAACCTCTTTTACAGATAGGAAACATAAAGGAGTAGCAATCCCAGCCAATGTCAGAACTAAAGCTGGGAGAAAAATTAATCTCTGCAACTTTTGCTTCTGACCTTAAGCCATTCGGCCTCTATTTCCAATATTTAAGGGTAAAAGTTCTTTTTAAAATTATTTTAAAATAATTGTTAGCTTAAATTCAACTTTTTCCAAGAAAATATTTATAATAATAGTCTGACATAAATCATGTTTCTGTGATTAAAAAAAAAACTGCTCTCATCTAAAGACTAAACTGTCATTCCTATTTGCATCATTTTCATTTACGTCTTCCCTTTCAAAGCAAATTAGAAAATCATTTAGAATCAGAACATGGCCAAATTTGAATAATTAGAGAGCTCTCTTTTTTAATTGATGAAATATAAATACAAATTAAAAGTAACAAAAATACAGAAATCATGTTACCAACACATGAGGATAGATTTTTCACTGACAAATACATTTAAGTGATCATTTCATTGATGTATTTCAAAGTTAGAAATTCAGACTCTCAGAACATTCAGAATGGATCTTCTACTTGAATATTTTTTTTTCTTAGAAAGCAAATAACCAGCTTCCAAGTACCATTGCAGCACAGAGGCCATTTGGGAGGCTGCCTCCTCAACTCTAACTCCGACTTACTTTCAAGGTCTTCAGCACTGTCTGGGACCAGACTTTATGAGTGATTCTCCTTCATGAAATGAGTCTTCGCTTAGCAGAAAAATTTTGAAAGTTCAGTGGCTATCAAACGAAGGCATTGTTTTGACATTGCAGTGTATTACGGAAAAAGCATATACCTTTCTTTTGAAAGTTATTCAAAAACAATTTTTTTTAAGATTTTATTTATTTTTTTGACAGAGAGAGAGAGACAGCGAGAGAGGGACCACAAGCAGGGGCAGTGGGAGAGGGAGAAGCAGGCTTCCCGCGGAGCAGGGAGCCCGATGTGGGTCTCGATCCCAGGACCCTGGGACCATGACCTGAGCCGAAGGCAGACGCTTAACAACTGAGCCACTCAGGCGCCCCTAAAAACAATTTTTGACTAGATCAATTTCAATAGTATAAAACCTATCCTGAAATATACTGAGGACCAAATACATCATCTCATTTAATAGCCCCAGCATTAATCCTACTAGGTAGACCTCATTCTTACCATTTTATCATGAAATAACTGAGGCTTACGGGTCAAGGAACAATTTAGTGACAGGATAGGGTCCTAAAACATGAGTAAGGCATATAGGGTCCAGAGATCTTTGCTTACTTCTCCAGCACTGTGTTCTCCACTATCCTGCTTGTGTCCTACTCTCTGGCCGTACTCAACCTCCACATTTATAATCCCTCAGTGCTCTGTCTTGCCTCCAGCCATTGTGCCATGTTGCTTTCCCGTGAGATACCTTTGTCTGGACTGCGTTTCTTACACTCGGTTCCTCCTCCTCCTCCTCAGGATTTAGATCCAGCTCCACCTTTCTAGGAAGCTCTCAACTACTCAAGTACAACCACTTCCACTTCTGGATGGGTTGGATGTTCTTCTTTTCTGCTCCTGCTGCTTTTCTCTTCTACATGCTACTGTATTTGGCTGTTCTCATGTCAGTCTCTCTTGTTAGACTGTGGACTTGTTTGCCTTTATAGCAGTAAAGACACTGATAAGGAGGGCAAAGAAAGGTAGGACGTAGACCTACTTGGAAAGCCACTTCTTGAGTGTGGTGTGAGATCCGCATGGGTTCAGCCCTCCAGTCTTGGTTTCTATGTCTACATCATTTTACAGTAGTAACCAGTTCTTTTTTTTTTTTTTGGTTCTATTTTATTTTTATTTTTTTATTATGTTATGTTAATTACCGTACATCATTAGTTTTTGATGTAGTAACTAGTTCTTAACATTGATCCCTAGGCATAATGGATATCCCAAGTGCCTTCTGAATTACAAAAGGAAGATTGAATTTATATTCAGTATAATTACTGTTAACTGTTTTTAGGGCTGGACCTTTTTTATTTAAATCATGTTTTTTTTATTATAATGTAATTTTTATGTTTTAGTCTTAAAAGAAGAAACCTCTTAAGCTGGATCTTACTCTCCCAGCATCATAACTGTGAGAATGTAGGCATATTTCTTTTTATACCTTTCTAGTGGTCATCATACTTCATCTATAATTTTGAATTGTTTGATTTTTCACTTAAATAATTGATAGTAATAAGGCTGAAAATAGTTAACACTTATTGAGCCCTCACTCTGACCTCATTTAAGTCTCACAGAAGCTCTGTAGCAGTGGGTGACAAGCTATGGCCCAAGGGCCAGGTCCAACCTGTTTTTGTATGGTCCCCTAGCTAAGTGTGGTTTTTACGTGGTTGAAAAAAAAATTTTAATAATATTTTTTGTCCTGTGAGTACTAATAAAAATGCAAATTTCAGTATCCATCAATAAACTTTTATTGGAGCACAGCCATGCATTTTCATGTATATATCATCTCTGGCTGCTTTCACACTATAGAGTGGAGTGGTTGCAGTAGAAACCATAGGATCCACAAAGACAAATATTTGCTTGATGGCATTTTACAGAAATGTTTGCTGACCCTGCTTTCTAGGATAGATGCAATAATCATCCCCATTTTACAAAGGAAGAAACAGAAGCCTAGAAAGGTTGAGGTTCCAAAGCTACGGAATTAGCAAGTGGCAAAATGGGCTTTTGTATATAGGCAAGTATTCTCATTCTCTGAAAATTGGCTATCAATGTGTCACTTACATTAATGAAAACTCTTCTATTCATTCACCTGAGCCTTCTGTTTCCCATCCATGGGTAAGAGCAGGTAATGACAATGACATCTTTCTTGTTGGAAGCTCAGCCTTTGGCAGCCTTCAAGCAGTATTTGAACAGATGTGCTACTCACATGTTCTTAAAATGGAAACAGAAGCCTGAGGTTAAGTGACTTTCCCAGGATAATGTGACATGATAGCCAGGTTTATTTTCTCTGAGGCCAGTAGTTCACCTAGTAGGTCAGGCCCAAGGTTGGGGACTAAAGAGTCTCTCTTTTGTCTCAAACCAAAATTACAGTGACGTCATGTTACAGGAACTTTGAGTGTGGATCTCACTGCTCTCTATTTAAACCCGCAGGTGGCATCTAACACCCTAGTTAGGCCACACGATATTCCTTCACTTATTCATTTATTCAAGGTTTCCTGAGCTTCTACTCTGTGCCAATTACTGTGCCACCCATTGGGCATGTAAAGGTAACTAACTGTGGAGTTCTACTCTGGAGAAGGTCATTTTTCAAGTAAACTGAAAGCCACCTGGTACTTTTTTTCTCTGCAAAAATGGAAAATAGTGCATTCATTACTTCATTTGAGATAAATGTTTACTGCCCAATGAGTACATTCCAGGTACTGGGCTGGGTAGGGAACCACAAAGAAATAATCTGTGCTCCTGGGGAGTTTATAATCTGGTGGGACAGTTGGTGAGCAAGTAATTTTAAACGTGATGAATTTATCCTATGATTTCAACCTAGACTGCTGTGAGCTGCTTACGTGCAGTTACAAAATGATGTTGCCTGGCCTGTTTCCTGATTTTGATAAGTTCCCTTGCCATCTAAATAAAATTAAAGCCCCCAAAAGACCTGGATGAGATCCAGGTTCCCCTCTTCAAAGAGAGAACTGAAATGGCCACGATCCCAAATAAAACCACAGTAAAACTAATCTCATGTTGTACTTGATAGATGATGAAACTGTTTCACATACAATACCCATGTGGTTCTCATAAAAATCCTGTGGGCTAAGTAGAGAAGATACTTCTATGATCTCCAGTTATCTAATTTATTATCTTATTTCTCTCAGGAGCAGAGTTGAAAATATTCTTCATTTCATAGCATGTTGCCATCACCACTCTGGGCGAGACCCCTGTTTTTACCTGATTGTCCCTCTTTTTCCCTTCCACAGTTGGCTCTTGACCCTCAAAATCACCCACTCTAATACACACAGCA